GAAGTCTGGCCATTTGGACATAGCACCATTATGGACAATAGTCAAAAATAGAACCAATCCAAATGTCCCTGAACAGATGAATGAGTAACCAAAATTCAGCATAAAATAGCCACACAATGGGTTGTTATTCAGCCAGAAAGTGAAGTACTGACACCTACTGCAACGTGGGTGAACCTTGAGACATTATGTTAAGAAAAAAAAGTTCAAGTATTAAGAGTCTGCTTATGCAGGGTATCTAGAACAGTGAATTCATAGGAACAGAAAATAGAGTGGTGGCTACTAGCAGTTGGGAGAGGGGATCTGAGAGTTATTATGTAATAAGTGCAGAATTTCAGTTTGCAAAAGGAAGAAGTTCTAGAAATATAGATGGGTGACTGTGACATAAAACTGTGATGTTAGTTAATGCCACTGAATCATATACATTTTTAAAAGGTTAGAGTGGTAAGTTTTATGCAATGTATATTTTATCACAGTTTTCACAAAAGAAGTTGGGCTAGGTATGGTGGCACATGCCTTTGAGGCTGAGGCAGGAGAGTCACCGCAAGTTTCAGCTCAGGCTGATACATAGCGATCTGGGCACAAAGGAATACATGCATATATTTCCACTTACATGAAATTCTAGAATAGGTAAAATTAATCCACGGTGAGGTCAGGATAGTGGTGGCCTATGGAAGAGGTTGTTGATTACAAAGTGGCCAACAGGATCCTACAGAGATGGGCTAGCTGGGATGTGCGATTGAAAACTACAGTGAATGTTTAAATAAACAACTATTGGGGCCAATGGAGATAGCTCAGTAGAACAAGCACTTGCCTGGCAAGCGCAGGGTCCTGAGTTCAATCCCCAGTACTGAAAAAAGCCCAAGCCACCAACTATCACAGTAAAACACATGCTGCCATGAAGCGCCCCCCCCCCAGTGCCACCGCCCCCGTTTGCACATGCTCGTCCATCCTTCTTGCCGCTTCCTGGAGGGCCTCTAGTATGAGTGTCTATCGTTGCACAGGCTTGGCTTCCTCAATGTCCTCAACTGATTCAAAGTGTTAGCCTCGTGGGCATCCTGGCTTTGGGGGAGGGCCACAAGTGTGTGCTAAGCAAGGGGTACGGGAGGGTGGCACTGTGTGTCTTGTCAATTTTTATTTAAACATTCACTTGGTAATTTGATCACACCTCTTGCTTTTGGCTAAGGTGGTAGAAGTGACACATGTACAGAGAAACACAAACACGTGCCCTGAAACTGTCAAGCTGTTATCTCAGCACCTGAACTGTGCTTCTATTTAACACACAGAGTGCCAGGAAAGGGTGCATGCCTGTAATCGCAGCCCTGAGGAAGCAGGCTGCGAATTCGAGGTTAGCCATGAATTCTTAAGGGAGTAAGCTACATAAGTGAGCTCAGGACCAGCCTGAACTACATAACAAAACCCTGTCTCAAGAGAACAAATCAAAAGCAAAATGCATTTAAGAGAGAAATAGAAACAGGGGAAGGCAGTGGTTTTTTATCTCTTTTTATTTTAAAGAGAAAAAACAAAAACAAAAACAAAACAACATAAAACAATAAAAATGGAATGTACAATATAACAACCACCGTTGAATACCTTTCATCTTGTTTTTTTTTTAATGTGTATCCTTTCTGTCTGGGGAGATAGCTCAGTGGCTTAAGTGTCTCCCTAGCAAGCACAAGGTTCTGAGTTCAATCCCTGGTACTGAAAGAAAAAAAAAAGAAAAGAAAACTGGTACAACAGATATAGTAAAAAAGAAAGAACCTGAACATAAGGAATAAACAATGGAGATGAGGGAAAGGAGAAAAGATAAGAAAAAAAGGAAAGGGGAAAATTCATGCAAGTATATATACAAGATAGCTGAGAAGATTGTACTACTAATTTCTATCAGTTTTTTGAAAGTAGCAGTTAACGTTTAAAATTTTTACTTTGACTAGCTATCAGTGTGAATATCCGGAATCTGAGCGACTACACTGAGGACAGCACTGTGCACTGTAACAGCCACAGCTGGATACCTTTCGTCTGGTTCTTTTCAGAACCATCTTTAATGTCTTGTCTATTATTATTATACTCTCTTTAAAATAATTTTTTTTAAAAGTGAAAAGAGCAAGGGGAAAATTAAGGATTATTGAAAGAAGGTGTGAGTGTTTAATAGTTTGATCCATCATGCATATCTGTATCTAGTGGTCTGTGCAACAAATTTGACAAGAAAAATATGCAATATGACAACCATTGTTAATATTTCATTCCTGTTCTGAAATTCTGCACCATTTGTACTGTCTTCTTTGCTTTGTTTCTGTCTTATTGTTATTTATTCTAGTTTTTGTTTTTGTTTTTCATCTTTAAAATTAAAAACGTGTATCATTTGTTTTTATTTTTTAAAGAGAGTACAAATTGCAATGTATCCTTTCTAATGTCTTATCTATTATTGTTATACTCTCTTTAAAATAAACTTAAAACAATAAAAAGGCAGCGGTGTTTGCTTGCACTTTGGCAAGCCCTTGATGTGGGAAAGGTGCTCTGGGTGTTCGTGCCCCAGGCCATCACTGCGGCGAGGGGGAGAGGCTCCGCTGTCCCCAGGCGGCACACTAGGAATGCAGACGAACGACTTCTTGCCCTGCTCACTGCAAGTGAGCCGCAAGTGAGCAGGGGAACTGGAAGGGTGTTTAGGAGGCTTCTTAACTTTGGGGGGCACAGAGGAATGCAATGGGGGCAGAAAAGAATATTTCTGGGTGGTGTGTGAACCCCTCCTGGTTTCGGGGGCTGCGAGGGGGGCGAGGCGGGAGGGGGCGCACCTGTTGGACACAGCTTGCAGGGAGTGAGCGGAAGGGGCTGAAGCAGAGAGTGGAACAAAACTACAGGCAGGGCAGTTCCTTCACCTCTCTCGGGCTCCTGTTGGAACCGGCGCTCCTTAAGCACTTTGGAGAATCAGGACACAGCATCCTTGGTCTGCAGGCTTTTGGTCCATCTTGCAGGGCAGGGAGGAATTTCCCCCTGGGTGAGGGTGGGGCAGTCAGCCCTCATCCCGCGATTGCGCTGGTGGCCCTGGGACCATTGTCACTTGGGCACTGAAAATTAGGTTGACCTCAGTCTGTCTCCACCATCAGCAAAAATAGACGGGACCACTACGGATATATAACTCTGTGTGATGTCTATAGGTGCATGAATCGCTCATATTTTTTTTTTTAGAAATCGAAGTGCTACTATATATTACTTTGAATCCATTTTTCTTTTTATCAAGAACAGCTTCACTGTCATTAGTCGTTCGAGACTGTGTTCCTGAGAGCAGCAGCCAGTGGCCAATCTTGACCTCACCTCCATAGAAACAGCAGCTTCCCCTCTTTTGGCGCTCCCTCACCCTCCACTGCTCCTGAGTCCCAGCAGCCTCTGGGCTCGCAGCTTTACTGGAGCTTGGCTTCACCCCTCCTGCACCGGTAAGGGACTTGTCCTCAGAGGCCAGGGCAAACAGCTCCAGTCGTCAGTGTAGGTCACTGGGGAAAACCCCGCAACCAGTAGGACTCACAGCACCCTCGCCAGCTCCCCCGCGGGGGAAGTAATTACAGGTGGGAGGGTCCTAGGATGCCAAACGACACAGCGAGCTGTCCCATAGATGCAAGGTGCACCCGAGTCTCCCGATTCTCCAAGGTCAGCGCTACTTGAGCCTCCCCGCAAGTCACTCTCATGGGGGAAAATGAACTCAGCGAGAAAACACGCGGTAAAGCCACAAAACTACTTTTATTTAATTGCTAGCACAAATAGAGTATAGAATTAAGGCAGTATAATACATTTCTACTTATCCTTACAAGCTTTTGTATAGTAAACTTCACTTAAAGTGTCAGTTACACTTGAAATGTTCGTTAAACAGCAGATTATTTTCCCCTTGAATTATAGAGAATCATTCCCTGGGCTGTCAAGTGTGCTGAAGCAAGACTGCGACAGCGTCACATTGTGTGTCATTCCACCTCAGCCAAATGTGCTGGGACTGAGGGGCGCTGGCTTCTCTTCCTCCTCATTCGAGGGACAAGGCTTTTGGCACGACACAGCATAGTCCATTCAGTTCTGGCTGCCAGTTATGACCGAAAATTCCCTTGCAAATGCAAAAGAAAAATGTAAACACTGTGAAAAGGTCAACCTGTAAAAACAGAAAACTCTGAGGTAAAGGGTCATAATGAATTATAAAAATGGATGTCTTTGAGCCTGGCAACCGCGTGGATTGTAAAAGAAGGTAGCTATGAGTGGATTTGCTTCTGCGCAACTAAATGAAAGCAAGTTCTTGCAAACACTGGAAAAGTTAAATGATGAAAAGGAGGTAAAACTTCTCACCACGTGCAACCCTGTTGGACTATAAAACTCAGCACCAATATTTGAATTTTCACTAAAATACAAATAATTTGGTGACTATATCTTTCCTTTTGCCACTTGATCTGATAGGCATAAAAGTTTCTTTTCATAAGAGCTTATCCAATTGTATTCTTCAGATACTAGTCACATTTCGTCACTATCTTTGGGAAAGCAAACTTTTTGAGTGCTCACACTTTCTCTCGTAACTGCTTTCTGACTGCCATGAAAAAGTACAACATAGAGGTAACACAGTTAAAAACATAAAGCTATGCAGTCACAGTCACTTGACAAAAGTGGTCACCAAGGCACAACTTTACCATTGCGCATGCACTCCTCCCCCACCCACCCAGAGTGGGAGAAGAAAGCAGGAGCAGCAGAGGAAATAGGCAAGGGGGGCAGACAATGCCAGTGTTCCTGGGGTCACTAAGGGCTGGAGGTTAACTGTAGGAGGAAAGGGAGACTGGGAAGAATAGGTGGCAACTAAGGGGAATTCTGTCTGGTAAACAGCGAGAGCCACACGCACACTTTTTGCAAGTACACGGTGTCAAGAAGTGTATGTGAAAGATGGGTGTCAGTGTCCACAAGTGTCTGTGCGTCTCATTTTGGGTTACATGTGCAGAGAAACTGGAAAGTGGAGCAACACCTGGCCCTGATGAGAGCACCTGTCACACAGCCGTCTCATCAGAATACTCTTCAACATCCACCACCATCATGTCACTGTAACCTTTGGTGGCAGTGGCAACTACATCAGGGCCAGAGAGGCCAGCAGCAGTGACACGCCTGGGGGGCACTCTGATAGGGCTGGACACAGACTCAGGGAGGTTGATAACGGCAATACGAGACTCCAGGTGTCTAGTAGTGGCCGTCTTGGGGCAATGGGAGCCAGGGAGCTCTAGGTGGCCGGTAACGAACTTGATGTGGCCAGTAGTGGACCTAGAGGGGGTGGTGGCTGGGCTGCATCTTATGCTGCAAGATTTGGAGGGGCTGCCAATAGAGAAGTGACTACTGGCAGGCTTTGAGGTTGACCTGAAATGGACAACATCATCTTTGAAGTGGACAGAGTCAGGATTAGGGTGGACAGTGGCAGACTTGAGGTGGCTAGAGGCAGATTTCCGGTAGACAGAAGAAGACCGGAAGTGGGGTCTGGGGTGGGCAGAGGCACAATCGGGGTGGCCAGCTGCAGTGTCAACAGGCAGTGGAACATTCCGGCTGGTCATTGGGATTCCCTCCACAGCAGGACAGCGATGGGCACGGTCTTGTTCAACGTCTTGGTCACGGGCACGGGCACGGGCAGAGGCTGGGGCAGGGGCCTCCTGCGTCTCACGAATATTAGTGATGAGGTCAGAGATGAACAGGATAGGGTGCCGCATGGCATGGAAGATGGTCCAGTATTCTCGTCGGAAATTCTCATTGAGGAGCCCATAGACGACAGCGTTGAGGCAGCTGTTGAGGTAGGCTATGAAGTACGCTGCAAGATAAAGCCAGTTGGGGATCTTGCTCGCTATCTCCTTTGGACCGACAGCCATCAACACTGTGAGCACGTTGATAGGGCCCCAGCACACTGCAAAAAGGAGGAAGATCACAAACATGGTTAGAAAATTTCGAACCTCAGCAAGTTGGTTTTCAGGATTCTGCCCAGCCTGGTCACGAGCTGCCAGCACTTTTCTCCAGATCCTCATGTAGCAGAAGCCGACTATGAGGAGAGGGAGGACAAAGTGGATGCCGATGATGGTCACCGTGAAGATAGAGTTGTTGACATAGTTGAAGATGCAGGTGAAGGTGCGCGGGTCGTACTCAATGGTGCCAATGTACATGTTGGGCAGGACAGCCAGAACAGCCATGACCCAGGTAACGACCATGTAGAGGCAGGTGTTGCGCACGCTGAAGATCCGCTCGTATTTGAGGCTGTGGCAGATGTAGCAGTAACGGTTGATGGCAATGGCCAGGATGTTGAAGACGGAACCAACCACACTCAGGCCTGTGATGAACCCGACCATCTGGCACTGCAGCTGACTGAGGTCCCAGTCCCCGACGGCCATGGCGTGCAGCATCAGGGGGTAGGGGTAGATGGCCACCAGCACATCTGCTACGGAGAGGCTCACCACGAAGATGTTGGCTGGAAAACACAGGGGAGGGGGAGAAGGGGGAAAGACAGGTGGAGAGATGCTTAGTGTGGATATCTACAAATTTAAGGCAGAGGAAAGGTCAGCTGAACTCATAATCACTCCAAGTTCCGGAATTCTCTTAAAGCAATGCCGCCCTGTTATGATCGGTTACAAGCAGGTCCTGGGTGACGGCTGTTTGGGAGACCTCTCCTTTCTCCAGAGTGTGTCACCTGTGCGGTGGGGGGGGGAAGCAACAAAAGGCAGAGTGAGCAAGGATACATGCCCAAGTCATGGAGGGGGGAACAAAATGGAAACTTTTCTCAAAGGGCAGAGAAGAGGAGTAGCAGAGCCTCAGATAAGAGATGGCCCTGAGAATGGACACAAAAGCCCACTTTCTTAAGTAGTCTTATCCGAAGGGATCAGACAATAATCTAAGAGTGAGCCTGGTCAAATACCAATTCCCAGGGAACGCTGGGCGTGAGGAGGGCTATGTGCAAACAAACAGTGCATGTGCCTGTGTGCCTCTGTGTGTGTGTGTGTGTGTGTGCGCACGTGCACACACTGGGCTGCGGGAATCCCTGCCAGGACTGGCTTAAGTGTCTCTTTCACACCTGTCCCGCAGAGAGCTGGGCACCAGTCCCTTGCCCCTGGCACTGAGCTTTACTGGAAACTGCCTAATACCCAGGAAAGTGAAGGGGACCCCCCCTACACCCCTCAAGTTTTGTAGGAACCTTTTTGTAAAACCTTTTACAAAGGGGAGAAGTGAGAGGCCAAGCAAAGGCGCCCAGAGCCTTCTTTGGAACACCTCTTGCCAGTTAGCACTGGTTTGGCAAAATATCACATTGCATCTTGGACTGTGGAAAACGAGGGCTTTTGAAAGGGCAAGGGAGTCCAGGGAGATAGCTCAGTGGCATAAGCACCTGCCTGGCAAGCGCAGGGTACTGAGTTCGATCCACGGTACCACAAAAATAAATAAAATAAAGGGCGAAGATCAGGCTTGCTCTGCCTCCTTTGTGGGCGCTTCCAGGACTCCCCTCAGCGCTTTATACCGGAAAGATTCTTTCTACGGTTTTCCTCAAAGTAACGAATCCAGGAAGGAAAAGTGAGAAAGGGCAAAACCTTAAAAAGAAAAACACAACAACCATAAAAGCCTTTATTTGGATTAGAGAAGGAAGGTAGGAAAGGAAAGGAAGAAAGAAAAAGAAGAAAGGAGGAAAGGAAAGAAAAAAGCTTCGCAGGTGGTCCCCGGGGCTCCGTGAGTCGGCACCTCCAGACTGGGCTCTGGGAGTGAAGACGGGGTCCAGGGCACGAGCCTGCGGGTCTCTGGGGGTGCGGAGAAATCGGACACACCCATCAGCGTTTGAAAGAAAACTTTTACTGCTCTTAGAAACTTGCCCAGCGCGTGTGACTCCTCCTCAAAGCAAAGTGAACCGCAGCCCCGCCCCCTCCTCCCCTCACGGCGCCCGACCCCGGCCTCTCCTCCCCCTGCGCCCCTCCCCCGCGCCCGCTCCGGAAAGTCCAGCCGGTCCCCAGCTCCTTGGACTCCTCTACCCCTCCTCAGCCCACTGAGAGCTATGCGACCGCGACTGAAACACTGGGCGCCACCTCTCCCTTCCCAAGGCTCGGGGCCCCTCCGCCTCTCCCTTCCCAAGGCTCGGGGCCCCTCCGCCTCTCCAGAGCCGCCTCCCGCCCAACCTGAAAACCCTGCCCGCCGCTTTGCAAGCTCCGCGGTCTCCCACCGCCTCGCGCACAGATCTCGGGGCACAGCCTCCTCCCGCGCGCGCTCCAGCCGGGATCACTGCCGGCCGCCTAGCCCCCCCGCACTGGCAAGGGGCTGAGGGTGTCCCGCTCCCCTCTCCGGACTGTGCCGCAGAGTCCCTACTGTTCCCTAAGCTCCGCGCCCAGCCGCCCGCGCGCCGGCTGCCGATTTCTACCTGGTCCAGAAGCCCGCGATCTCATTGCGGCTTCGCGGCGCCGAGCTGCGACCCTCTGCGCCTTCCCATCCCGGACCCCAAGTACCCAGCTCACGGACCTCGGGATCTCCGCCTCCGCCGCCGCTGCCGCTGCCGCCGCCGCCGCCACCGCCGCCGCCGCCGCCGCCACAGCCACAGCCACAGCCACAGCCTGCAGCGCAGCCGCCGCTTGCCTCCCTCTGCCCAGCGCCCTGGGACGGGCGGACCGGGCTAGACTGCAGGGGGCTCGGAGCTCCCCGCTCGATCCTCGGGCGCGGGGTCTGCGCTCCGCCTGCCCGAGCTGCTCGGGAGCTCCGGGGCCGTGGCGAACGGGGTCTCGCTGGGTTCGGACGCGGCCGCAGCGATGCGCTGAAGGAAGCGCCGCTGCGGCCACCGCCGCAAATTTCACTTTCCCAAAGGGCTCGGTTCGCAACACCGTTGCTCCCTCCGCGTCCTTTGCCCTGCGGAGCCTTGGCGCGGCCGGCCCTGCGGCATCTGGCGAGGCTGGCTGTCTCTGGGAAGCCGCGACCGTCTCCGGCTCCTGTCCCCGACGGGAGCCGGCGCGAGGGACAGCGGCGCGCCGCGGGAGCTTGGGCTTTGCTGGCAGGCGCTCCGAGCTAATTTCTGAGCTTCCCCCAGCCTTAGGAAGCTCCCAAGTTTATGGGACCCAGGCACAGCAACCCCTCCAGCTCGAGATGGCCGGGAATTTGGGAGCGGGGACATTCGGGGTGAACAGGTAGCCCACACTAACACTCTCGGGGTTGCAAGCACTACACAGCGGGTAGGGAGACAAAGGGGACTTACCAGAATTTCGGAGCTTCTTGTTCCGTGTCACAGCCAAAATGACCATGGAGTTGCCAATCAGGTCTACTATGATGGTGAGGACCATCGCGCAGAACATGGCAGTGACTAGGGCCGGTGGATAGTCCGGCTTTGGCAGCTTACAGCCGATGCAGCCATAGGGGGTAGGGACTGCTAGATTAGTCCCCATGCTGCTCCTAGAGACCCTTAAGATCCCCCAGGTGGCTCAGGATCCACAGCCCGCCGGACTGCGAATACCCGCTCTGCTGCCGCTCTGTCACCCGGAGCTCCGAGAAAGCGTGCCTTCCTCTCCGGCTGCCAGAGAGCGAATGAGCGGCCTCCCTGCCGTTGAGCTTTTAAAGCCTCGAGGGGGGGGTGCCCACCCCTAACTCCTCCCCCTGACCAATCAGATCTCTCGACCACCCCCGCCTTAATTACTACCTCCTCCTGGACAAATCCACAGCGAGATGTCGTCTTTCTTCCGATTGCCTTGTTTGTGCTTCCCCCCACAGCCTGCCACCCCTCCCACCGTCCCTCAGGTACCCAGCTTCGTGACTAGCTCAGAGCCTGCCTCCCCGCCCCTCCAGCCGCTGTGCATCTAGCAAATTCTCCTTTCCCTTCAATACAAATACCTGTCAAAGAGCTGTACATTGCAGAATAGGGACATGGGGTCTTCCTTGGAGTCTAGGGTCAGCCCAAGCTAGTCGAGGTCTCTTATACAGATGTGGGGGACAGCCAGGGGTCTCTTAACCCTTAGCCCCTGGCCCTGTTGTCTTAATAAGGGGTCAACCCCACTCTGCAGGCTGTCCACACGGTAGGGAGCAGGGCCTACTACTGTGGGGTCTCCCACCCAAAATTGAGGTCCCAACCCACTTAGGGTACTTATTCCCACTCCTGTTCTTTTAGGGAACCAGTTTAGCACCAGTAGCGGCAGCGGCAAGTGGCCGCTCTGTCCCCACCAAGGTCCTGTGCTCAGTATTAACAAATGTACCCTGTGCCCCCGCTCTGGAAGCTGAGAGTGGTAGTGCACATAGGAACGAGGGGAGGCAGTTGGTGGCCGCTGGACCCCCAGCTTTGTGGGAGCCAGAGCAGGACCTGCTCCCCTCCCAGATCCGGGCCCCAGAGGAGGGGGGTCGGGGGCGGCTTAAGAGGAAAACTAAAGCGGGTATGAAAGTCCTCCTGTCGCATGGCCTCTCTTCCAGGACACCGGAGACTAGCGGCTGGGGCTTCTGACCCTTTTCCCGGTGCTCCACACCATCTGGGCGCAGCGTCGCTGTGGCGGCTCGGAAGGTGCTCGGTCCCAGCGGGTGGCCTGGAAGCCACTGACCGGCTAGCGTCCTCTGCCCTAGGCCAGTCTCCTGTCACTCCCCAGAAGTCAGTAGCGGTTAGGGGCTTATTTCGACCCTTTCCCTGTCCTCCCCAGACGTCACCCATCCCGGTGGTGCGCCCCAAAGTGTAAGTGTGCGGGCTGGGGGAAATCGAGCGACCAGTTCACTTAAAGGGATGCGACCTGGGCACTGGCTCCCTCAGCAGCTTTGAGCTAGAAGCCCCCTTCCCTGGCAGCTGCCCTCTGCTCCCTAAGGGGTGCAGAAGGCTCTGGAAAACAGAGCGGGGCAGACTCCTGAAGAGACCACAGGGCAGTGGCCAAGGTGGAGGGACCATGGCCTGTGCCTCGCACTCAGACGGGGGAGGGTGCTGCCTCCAGACCAACGCTCTCCCTTTGGAAGTGGATTTCTGCTCGCTGCTAAAAGTTAAAAGTTAAGACTGCGCTTGGGAAGCCTCTAGAAGACCCACCCGAACACACCTGGAAATTCGGTCCAGACCAGCCCTCTTGCCACCTTAGGGGACAAGGGCCTCACTGGCCTGGAACGCCACCATCTGGATGCAGCAGCCCCCCACCCCGGGCTAAACGCGGTGGTCGTGGAGAAGGACCTGGGGGCGTGGGGATGGCAACAGTCAGAGACCTTTAAAGGCAAAACGCGCAGCTGCCAGCTCAGTCGCACACACGTTCTCCTCGAAAACCCCTTGCTCAAGACTGAAACCCCCAGCCCCATCCTGTGCTCGCTTCCGAGAGCAGGAATCAGCGCGAAGTAAACCGTTCCCCACCTACAGCCCGCTCGCGCTTTGTCTCCGGGCTCCTCACGGCTGCCTCCAGCTGCCCGCGCTCTCCCGCGCTCAGCCAGGGGCTGCCCGCAACCTCCACCGCAGCGGAGGCAGCAGCTCTGCGGTCCGCCCTACCCTCTGTGCGCCTGGCAAGGAGCCCAGTAGCGCTGAGCCAGAAGGGTTGTGTAGGAGCCACCTCAAGCTACTGAGATCGACTCCCGGAGGGTTTGGATCCCTTTGCTTGCGGGAAGGAGCTACGGGAGTTTGAGTTCAAAAGAACACAAGAAATAAAATTGAAGGGGGAAAAGGGAGACGGGATTCCAGACACTTAAGACCCGAGACTCTAGCCTCAAGCCGCGCTGAGAAGACGGCTGCGGACTCTCGGGCGCTGCACAACCCGCCCGCGTGGTCCGGCAGCCAGCGCAGCGCTGGGACTGGAGGGTTGTCTGCGGTCGTGGTCTGGGCTTCCCGGCACTGGCAGGAGGGGAGAGTGAACGGAGCTCCTGACCCCTGCCCCAGTTTGGACCCTACCAGACCGCGAGGTTCTGAGCCTCCGGCTTTTCAATAACAAGAGGCAGATATTTTAATCATTGAAGGCGGCTGGTGCCAACCCAAGACGGTCCGCTCGGGCGAACTCGGTATCTGATTAAATTAATTTCTTATTTTTACGAAATGGTCCTACTAGAGATCGTGAACATTGCTCCAGTGCTAAGAAAAAAAAAAGACAGTGAATCAGGTGGAAATACGAGGGAAACAACCAAGAGCTCTTTGCCCGGCCGGGGACATGGCTCAGCGGCACAGTGCCTACCTGGGAAGTTAGATACTGAGCTTGATTCCCGGTGCCAATGATAGTAGTAATGATCCTCTTTGGCACGACAGAAGTCTCCCATGCCATAAATTCAATCATTTGGGAAAGGTAAAGTTAGAGCCCTTTATCGGGTGCGGTTCGAAGTATGTGGCTTCAGATTCCAAAGATTTAAAATTCAATTTCTATCTAATCAGACTGCTAAGGAATAACAGATAAAGCAAATGTGATATTCCCGCACCTTTGAATACTGCCCTGATCTGCCATGAACTCGAGTCATTTGCCGGAAAATGGATGCTCCTGGAGACCGTACTGGTACTTGAAATAAATCAGACACACAAGCTTAACTATCACACGCTTTCTTTTCTAGAAGAAAATGCAAATAGGAATAAAAAGTAAAACAAAAGATAGATACTAGGAAATAGCAGAGCAGATCTTGTCCAAAAGGGAAAGGGACCGGGAGATGAGGGAGATGGAGGGCAGGGAGGGCAGGGAATGAAAAAAGAAGGAAGATTTGTTGCATCGGGGACTGACGCTCCACAAAAACGCGATCATTATGTACTATAAGCACGGGCTAAAATTTTTTTACAAAACAGCATATGAGATCCCCAGGGATGCGTTAGTAAGCAGGGTGCGCAGAGACACATTACTGGGAATTTGAAAGCTGTCAAGATAGAAGATCCAAATGCAGGCGACCTGGGATATTGTCCGAAGTGGCACACGGAGCAAGCAAAGGGCGCTTGCTGCTCAGCAGCGGGTGGCCTTCTGGTGTGCCCACAGAAGCTGGTGTCTGGCGGCTATGTCCAGGCACCTTCCAGCAAACTTTCTAGCTCTCTGTTTAACCCTGGAGTGCTACAACAGTGCACCGCCTGGAGCTAGGGACTGTTAGTGTAAGTGTGCACTTGATAGCGTTCTGAAGCTTCTACAGAGACAAGTAATAGCCGGTTCAGATTCAAATTCTCTGTGAAGGATAGGGTCGTTTGTCTAAAATGTACCAACAAAATCTGATGGGAAGAAGAAAAGAAAGCTTCGCAAGGATCCATTTTCTCCCAGCAAGGCCATTAAGTAGATGGGGAAACTGAGACCCAGAGGGGGGAAAGAGATGGCCGAGGACATGGGAGGGCTTGAGGAGGAACCCGGCTCGGATCCAGGCTGCGTCCTGGCTCTGCCCCACCCCACCGCAGCCCAGCCTGGTAATACAGCATTTTTGTTCTGGATCTCAATACTGTGAGCTGCTTCTCCCTTAGCCGCGCTGCTTCTGACCCGTTTCTATGGGGATTTAACGCCCGCCACAGGACACCCACCTGCTACAGTTACAAATCAGCCATTTTTGAATATGAACAAAGTTCTGCAGCCATCACCAATAGCTAATCTCAGAACCTTCCCATCACCCCAGGGGCTGCTCCCGAGACCCCAGTTACTGGTCATCACTCATCTGCCCTCTGTCTCCATGGCTTTGCTGTCTGGACATTCCATATAAACAGAAGCTCACAGTATGGGACCCTGTGCCTCAGGCCTCTTCCCTTCGCACAATGTTCCCTGACACAGTGGCACGGCTAAGTACTTCCTTTTTGTGTCTGTGTGACATTCCATGGTATGGACAGACCACCTGTTGCTTATCTGTCCTTCCACTGACTAAGGCTTGAGCGTCTCCCTGCTGTTATGAGACTGGAGACATCTGGGCTTCTCTTTAACCCTAGGATAGGCAAGCAGAGGCCTCTTAGAACCCAGTGCCACTGTCTCACACGTAGAGCTGGACAGCCCAGGATTGTCTCAGGCACTCTGGGCTTCTGTGATCCGTATTTCTCTGAATTACAGAATCATTTGCTAATTTCATCTCACATACCACTGGGGATTTCTGTAATAATAAAATGAGAACTTGCCAGGGAGATAGCTCGGCGGCACCAGTGCCTGCCTGGCACATGCAAAGTCCTGAGTTCGATTCCCCGTGGGGGGGGGGAAAAAAGGAAAAAATGTGAACTTGGTGCAACCACAGGAAAAGTGAAAATATTTTCCAGCTGCTGGATCAATGGGAACTGTACTTGACTCTTGGTTCTTGAAAATGAAATCAAGCTTGACCCCAGCTCTTGCACTGACGCGTGTGTGGCCTTGGGCGAGTCGTTGGGCCTCTCTGCGTCTCAGTGGGTTCAGCATGAACTGCACATGAGCGCAGCATCCCGCCAGGTCGGTGGATGGTTGTAGGAGGCCGATGGTGCACTACGCTCTTAGAGCAGCGCGGGTGAGCCTGGCACCCGCAGTTGCTGCAGTTGCTGTTGTTATCATGACAGTTTCTCTTTCTT